ATCTACAAGCAAATACATCCATATGTAAAGTCAATGTGGAATGTGGATGCTGAGACATTCGGGATTTCCAATACGAGCGCAGAAATCCAGTCACAACTTTAACAAATTCTCGTATTTTGTGAAATGCGATTTGTAGGTTCGGGAAAAGTTTTTGGAATTAAATACAGTATACAATGAAAGATACCCGGCTATAGGAATAGACCTGTGAGAGTACATGAACTATCTGAACTTGCACTGAGAGAAAAGCAGGATTTCGCTTACATTCAATAAGGTGAGCGTAAGAAGAGGGACCGAAAAGGAGATTTTAAGGATAAATACTATGAAGTAAGCTAAAGCTTTAAAAAGCTCTGAGTCAATAGGTTTCAATGGCTCTATCAGCCATTTCCACTATAAAACGATCAAGCCAAGTGACCGAATGCGGTGAGAATGAGCCACCTTCTAAGAATCCTAAATGTCCACCATGGCGCGTAGTTATAAAAGCCATATCTTCAGATCGAGAAGCAAGTTCCTAAAAAGAGAAATTTTGGTAGAAAAAGCCTAATCAGACGGCAAAAAAAAAACAAAAGATGCTCACTTTAACCGGCTCCCATAGACAACTTGGAATGAGAGGATCATCCTCAGCATTCAGGAAAATCATTGGTACCTTCAGCTTAGGCAAATGATCTAGGCACGAACACCACTCGTAAAACGAATCCACGTTTGAAAAGCCAGCTACACGCCTATTGTAGTTTTCATCAAGAGCCACAATTGAAGTTGCAGCCCAAAGTCGCTGAATATGTTGGATAATTGTTGAGAAGTGAAAAAAAGAGCCTTTAAAGTAAGAGTTAGCGCTAAAAAATTATTCTGAGGAAATATAATTGGTTCGTAATTTTCATTTTTCACTATCTTATCTTTTTTGATAGGTTGGCACTACTTCTACTTCATTTAGGAAACAGGTCTCTTTTGCGCATACTATAAATTGGAAATAGGGTTTCTAAAAGAAAAAAAAAAACTAGTTGCAGCCGCTAATTTTTCTTCTCCATTCTGAAGGATTTTGTCAACATTCATCTGGCAGTGAACGAAACATAGAGGAACTTGATGACGTAGCATACGCACTATCATCCTTATATAAACAATATAATTTCAAAAAAATATACTAAGAAGTATTTATAGGTCACATAGGCAGAGTTGAAAAGAAGTAACGTTCGCAACTATATGGCTAAGAGTTCCTCAAATTCTATAAATTTGCTTAATGACCGTCATCCCATGCACTTAGCGAAACGCTTAACAAGATAATTTTTGAGAGTTGGGAGCCACTCTTGTATCATTCACTAGAAACTCATGCTGTTATAACTTTGAGTTGTATAGTGCGAGATGCAGAATAAATGCCAATCAATGGCAAATTTAATCCCGTATAGAAAAATTTACTATTTTGGGATTGTATGTATTATTCTTGTGTTCAAACATTTATCAAATTTTTTCCCGAAATACTACTTTTTCCATATAAGTATGATTTAACGATGGTTAGTTGGTGAAGAAACAGTAAAAAACAAGAAATTTTTATTTTGAAGAATTTGCTTGATAATTTCTTTTAACTGGTGATGAACTCGGATTGGCTGTACATATCAAGTATACCTTGTCACTTAATTCTGTTTACAAATGGAGTGCAACAGATAAA